AAACTTAAAGGCTAAGAGTCTCCATAGCCCAAATATGTTAAATTTGTCATAACTCACCAAAAATGTTTTTAAGGGTGTGGAGAACATGAAAAAATAAAGATGTGCTTCCTTTTGGGTTGTCCCAAGCCCACAAATCTCACATCCCAAGTTTCTTCCTCTCTAAAAAGGGTGTAGGACATGAAAAAAGAGTGTTCAACACCTTTAGGAAACCCATGCAACCATCCTATATGTCCAAGCCTTCTTTTCCACAAAAATGAGATGGTGGTCTTCAAAAAGAAGGTGCATAAAGTGGTCATACAAAAAAGTGCGAAAATGTGTCTAAATTTAAGAAAAAAAAAATGTTAAGAAAATTCAAAGTGGAAGGTGAGGAGGAAATCTCCCTTTTAGTCATTCTTCTAGTGATCCTCTTAGGGATGACCTCTTTTGTCTTTGGGACTACTAGGGACTCATCATCCTCCCTGCCTTGGAGAGAATTCGTCCACGAATTTTCCAAATCTTTTTAATCCCTTTGTCTTTCTTTTCTTTCTTCTCTCTCTTTTTTTTCACTTTTTGGTTGTTTTCCTTTCATCTCCTTCTTTAATTCTATTTGATTATGACCGCTCTTCAAATCAATCTTGGAAAATATGGTAGCACCTTGTATCTTACCAAGCAAGTCATTAAGTCTAAGGATGTGTTACCTATACTTTACGTTATTGATAGACCTACAATTTTGCACCCACCATTTTTCTATCAATCCATTTACTTGCCTTTGAATCTCTTTGGATTCCTCCGGGTTTGTTCTTTAAGTCGGATGGTTAGGTATGGATGAATTAGGTATAAAGTTAATTTGATGTTTAATCCTGCTTAGAGGTGGAAGCCTTTTAGGAGGTTCTTGGAGAACATCCTAAAATTCATCCAAAATAACTCTAGACTTTTAGAAAAAAATTGGAAGGTTGCTCATGAAATGCAAAAGATGACCCTAGAGGAGGGTAAGCTAAGAATAAGGGTTTATGTGCTATTAATATCTTCTTAATTCGCTTATGGGAGATCATGATACCTTTTGACCTTTTATCTTTTTCTTTTTCTTCTTTTCTCTTTTTTTTTTTGCATTTTTTGTTGGTCCTCACTAACCTCTTGTGGGGATAGAGGTTTCAGTATAATCTTATGTCGTTGGAAGTTAAAAGAAAATGTGTCGGTATAGCCATCACATATTTGTTAAAGAAAATGTGTAGCTCCACTCACATATTTGTTAAAGAAAAAGGATTTTCATTGGTCCTGGACGGCTAAAAAAACTTTCTTGAAATTGAAACAAGCTATTACTTCAAAACTTGGGTTAGTCTTACCAAATTTTTAATTGCCTTTTGAAATTAAAATAAATGCTTCTAGTATTGGAATTGGTGTTATCCTTATGCAGGGAAAACATCCTATTGACTACTTTTCTAAGAAAATGTCCCCTAATATGCAGTGACAATTAGCTTAGACACAAGAATTTTTTATTGTAATAGAAGTTATTGCCAAATTTAGACATTATTTACTAGGGAAGAGGTTTATCATTCGAACATACTAGCAAAGCCTTAAATCGCTCCTAGATCAGAATTTGTCCACTCTGGAACAACACAAGTGGGTGCACAAGTTTTTGGGATACGATTTTGAGATAAAGTACAAGCCAAGGTGCAAAACATTGTAATTGATGCTCTTCCTTGAGGTTTCTTTGTAGCTTGGTCAACTCCTCAATTAGATTGGTTGTAAACATTAAAAGATGACTTGCTTAAAGATGAAAAATTGTAACAAATCATCTAACAATGTGCTATCACAAGCCAAGTTGATAATAATTACAATTGTCGAAATGGGTTATTATTGTGGAGGAATAGGATGTTAATTCTCCAAAACAATAGTTTAATTCATCTAATTCTCAAGGACTACCATGATGCTACAATGGGAGGGCACTTAGGGATAGCTAAGATAGTGCAAAGGATATGTTCTTAATTTTACTGGCCAAACATCTAAAAACAAATAAGAGAATATGTGTCAAATTGTCTAATTTGCCAAGAAGTTAAAACTGAAACTAAGTTGTGTACTGGATTGCTACAACCTCTTCCAACTCCATCACAAATTTGGAAAGAAATCTATTTGAATTTTATCACTACCTTGTCTCCAGCACAGGGTTATTCACTTATAATGGTTGTGATTGATAGACTCTCAAAGTTTGCGTACTTTATTCCACTAAAACATAATATCTAGTTAACAAATTGTTGAATTTTTTGTGCGCATACTATCAAGCATCATGGTCCTAAATCAATTATCTTTGATAGGGACAAAATCGTCATAACCAAATTCTAGCAATCTTTTTAAGCTTCAAGGAATAACTCGTGCTATGAGTTCAACTTATCATCTTCAAATGGAAGGGCAATGTGAAGTCTTGAACAAGACTTTGGAAATGTATCTCAGGTATTTTAACAACCCAAAGAATTGGGTGAAAATGTTGTGGTGGGCCCAATGCTTATATAACACATCATATCATACCAACATCAAAATGATACCTTATAAGGCTTTCCATGGTAGAGACCCTCCATCATTCATCAGGTATGAAATCTCTTATAAGGATGAATTATCACTGCAAGAAACATTGGTTGAAAGAGATAGATTGATAGATCAATTACAGGCTAATATGACTAAGTCTCAGCAATTCAAAAAATATTATGTTGATAAACATATAAGAAGTGCATACTTTTAGGAAGGAGAATTAATGCTAGTTAAGTTACAACCCTATAGACAACATTTAATGGCACTTTGAAAACATCAAAAAATTGGTTTGAGGTACTTCGGCCCCTTCAAGATTAATCAGAAACTTAGTCCTATAGTTTATAAATTTGAATTACCACAAGAGGCAAAAATTCATAATGTTTTTCCTATCTTCATACTTAAGAAGTTTAGAGGAGATAAAAAACAACATTACTTGTCATTACCACTACAAATTACTAAATGTGAACCAATATTATCTCATGCTATAGTGCTTGATAGAAGAGTAATTATGTTAGGAGGAAAGAAACTAAAACAATTAGAAGTATAATGAGGGAAGAACCAAATTCTTTTGTCACTTGGGAAGAAGTTGTAATATCCTGAATGACATACCCAAAATTCAACCTTGAGGACAAGATTATTTCGGATGGTGAAGGTAATGTAAGGTAAAAAAACAAGATTGATATGGATACCCACGTGGAAGGTTTGTTGTACAAAGAGACAAATCCCAAATTAGTTATAAAGGGAGGATATTTGGCCACCAATTTGCAAATCATGGAGCCAAAGAAGAGTAACAAAAAAAGAATATCAAATATCATGCTACGATATTTTGTCAGTTAGGTAATTTGTGGTAATTCTCTCCCTCTTAAGTTCTCTCTCTTCCTCCTCATTTTTTTGAATATCTCTGTATATTCTATTTCTTCTCAAGTGTAATGGCAGGATTGAAATTTTGATCGTGACTCCATGCTAGCATCCTCAATTTATTAGATTCAATATTTATGTTTGATTTTACATACTATATATGTTGTTAGTGAATAAATAGAGAATAGTATTGTAAGAAGCTTGTTCTCAATATTACTTGAGATTTAATATCACTATCATATTATTTTTTTCTCTTTTTATATTTTTTATCAAACAATCTATAAATCAAATTTATTTTTTATTCTTATATTTTATTCTCGTAAAAGACCGTGTTAAATAAGATCAAACAAAAAACTATTATGTGTTCCTGTAAGGAATAAGTTTCATGTCAAAAATAAGAAATTACTTAGAATATACTCTTCCACCAAGTAGCAATTAAGGATGACAAAACATATCAACCCGTCCTATTTTAGTCTCGCTTCGTTTTTAACACATAAAAATGGGACGGACATGTTGGTCCGTCGTAGTCAAAACAGACTACAAATTTTAGTCCGTCAATATTTTTATTTTTATATAAATTTGTTTATTTGTATATTTTTTAAATATATCTTTAATTATATAAATATTTTTTTAAAGTTTTATTTATTAATTAATATTTTTATTAGATAAATTAAAAAATATTATATTTATATATAAAGCAACTAATTATATTTAATAATTTAAATTTAATTAATTAATTTTATAATTTAAATTATAATATTATAATATATTTATATATTTTAATAATATAATAAAAAATATAATATTTTTAATTACAATTTTTTTATTTTAATATATAAATATTTTTTAAAATGGACAGAGAGATTATCCCACCTTAATCTCCATTAACTAAAACTGAAAAAATTAAATAATTTAAAATTAAAAAAATCTATAATCATACCTTAATATTTTATATTAAATATTACGTTATATTTTTTTTTACATAATTGACGCATATATTATTTATAATTCATATACCACACAACATATGCCATTTATTCTATTGACTCATAAATCAATTTAATTTTCTTCTATTAATCTCCTCGTAAATATTTAATAAAAACATATTTACAAACAAATATCACATGTCTGTTTTCAAAAATTCTACTAATTTAGATGAAATTGAGCAATTCTATTTTATAGTTTTCTTCTATTACCTAATCTCTTCACAGATGCGAGAAAAAAAAATTAAAACCATTTGTGTCTAATTAAAAATTAAATATTTAAAAAATTAGAAAAGCCTCAAAATATAATATGTAATTGATTTTATAATTTTTATACCATTTATACATCCATTTACAATTTGTAATTAACTCTATCAAATTCTATGCAAGTTTTTATTCTTGTTATAAATTAGGTAGAGGGGGACATCAACTAAACAGGGACAGTGAGTATAAATAATATATATATATATATATATATATATATATATATATATATATATATATATTTAACTTTTTTTTAATTAAACATCAATTTAACCATCTATTTTAATATTATAATAAAAAATTAAAATTTGTTGTTATATTAAATAAATAAATTATATAAAAAAAAGTGATTATATAAGTTTAGTACTCATCCATTAAACATAAACTTCCTTTATGCCGTGCGTTTCATGCATGGGCAGGTTTGGTCTTTCCTGTATCCGCCTATCTTGTGTGTGTGTGCCCACCGTTTTCCAAATTACAATCACTCGCTTTTCCACAATTTCCTTCAAAACCCATTTACAAAATTATCACTTTGATGGCAAAGAACAATTTGCTACCTTGTGTTCAAAAGGGCACATAAGAGAAGCGTTTGAAAGGTTTGTATCAGAGATATGGGCAGAACCCCATTTGTTCTCAAACCTCATCCAAGCATGCATTCCGTTAAAGTCTGTTTCTTTGGGCAAACAGCTTCACTCTTTGATATTAACTTCTGGCTGTTCTTCAGACAAGTTCATTTCCAACCACCTTCTCAACCTCTACTCAAAATTTGGGGAACCTAGAGCCGCTGTTGCTTTGTTTGATCGAATGCCGAGGAGGAACATCATGTCATGTAACATCATGATAAAGTCCTATCTTGAAACGGGCAACTTCGAGAGTGCCAAGAATCTGTTTGATGAAATGCCTGAGAGAAATGTTGCCACGTGGAATGCGATGGTCACGGGTTTGATCAAGTTTGAAATGAACCAAGAGTCTTTACTCTTGTTTTCGAGAATGAATGAGTTGGGGTTCATGCCAGACGAGTACTCGTTAGGTAGCGTGCTCAGGGGATGTGCGCATTTAGGAGCTTTGTTTGCAGGCCAACAGGTTCATGCCTACGTCATGAAATGTGGGTTTGAGTTTAATATGGTTGTTGGATGCTCTTTAGCTCATATGTATATGAAAGCTGGAAGCATGCACGATGGGGAGAGAGTTATCAATTGGATGCCAGATTGTAATTTGGTTGCTTGGAATACACTTATGGCTGGAAAAGCTCAAAAACGGTGCTTTGAGGGAGTACTGGATCAATACTGTATGATGAAATTGGCAGGTTTTAAACCAGACAAGATTACTTTTGTCAGTGTGATCAGCTCATGTTCGGAGTTAGCAATCCTTGGTCAAGGGAAGCAAATTCATGCCGAAGCAATCAAAGCAGGAGCTAGTTGTGAACTTTCTGTAGTTAGTTCATTGGTTAGTATGTACTCTAGATGTGGATGTTTGCAAGATTCTTTTAAATCTTTTTTGGAATGCAAAGAGCGAGATGTTGTGTTATGGAGTTCAATGATTACTGCTTATGGGTTTCATGGTCAAGGAGAAGAAGCCATCAAGCTTTTCAATCAGATGGAACAAGAAAATCTGCGGGCAAATGAGGTCACATTCTTGAGCTTGCTATATGTTTGTAGTCATTGTGGATTGAAGGATAAAGGACTTGATTTCTTTTATATGATGGTGAAAAAGTATGGACTCAAGGCTAGACTAGAACATTATACTTGTGTGGTTGACCTTCTAGGCAGGACTGGTTGTTTGGAGGAGGCAGAGGCTATGATACGATCCTTGCCAGTAAAAGCAGATGCAATTATATGGAAGACATTATTATCTGCATGTAAACTCCACAAGAATGCTGAAATTGCAAGGAGAGTTGCTGCAGAAGTTCTTAGAATTGATCCTCAAGATTCGGCTTCATATGTTCTACTTGCCAATATTTATTCTTCAGCTAATAGATGGCAAAATGTTTCTGAGGTAAGGCGAGCCATGAAAGATAATATGGTGAAGAAAGAACCAGCCGTAAGTTGGGTTGAAGTGAAGAATCAGGTTCACCAGTTTCATATGGGTGGTGAATGCCACCCGAAACATGTGGAGATTAATAAGTATCTGGAAGAATTAACTTCAGAAATGAAGAAGCGGGGCTATGTACCTGATACTAACTCTGTTTTGCATGACATGGACAATGAGGAAAAAGAACACAACTTGAGGCACCATAGTGAGAAATTGGCAATTGCTTTTGCTTTAATGACCACCCCAGAGGGAGTGCCAATAAGGGTGATGAAAAACCTGCGGGTTTGCAGTGATTGTCATGTTGCCATCAAGTACATATCAGAGATAAAAAATTTAGAAATTATTGTTCGAGATTCAAGCAGGTTTCACCATTTTAAAAATGGCACATGCTCTTGTGGAGATTATTGGTAATAGTTACGCCTTGTTTTCAATTTCAGATTGTATTTCATGATGATGCACAGGTTACAGGTAAGAGGGTCTAAGTTATTTGTAGTTGCTACAGCACCGGTCTATCTATTTTATATACATTTATCACATCACGACCTTACTGCATTAATAGTTAGGATTCATATCATAATTTCCACTTTCACAAGTGAAGCTTCAAATTAAAAAGGGATTCTTTATGCACAAATCTCAATAAAGGATATTAATAAGCGGTGGCTTCTAACCACTGATCTCAGTTATTGTTGGTCATCAAGTGCAATTACCTGAACTGCATTGATGGCTAAATGATTCCTTTTAGCCAACTAATCGTACTATTGTTATTTCATTTTAGTCATTACTCCCTCAATATGGCATGTGCGAGTGGTCAAAAGCAGAGGGAATCAAGAGTTCCGTTCACATGGCTTTAAAAATAGCAAATTGATATAAGTGAGTCTCTATCACTGTTTTGCACTGCAACTAAGATCACGAGGGAAGGAAAATCAACCGGATTAAGAGCCAGGTTGTGTTTATTTAGGTCATGGCTCGTTAATCCACACCCAACTCTTTTCAGTCATTGACTATAAAACCTTTAACATAATCAATGATAATAAAAGGTTAGTATATTCATGCATCTTAATTAGAGGATGCATGTTAACCAAATTCACCACCCATTTTCCACCAACTTCAGTTTCAATCATAACATAAATCTGGTCAAACAATATAACAATCCGCCACTATCTTATGACTTTGGTAATAATCAGTTTCCATATTAAGGTAAAGTTGAAAAGTTTTAGCAGAACTCTAATGAAAAATATAACATAATGAAAACATTAAAAAAAAAAAAAAGCTTGTCTATATGCAGTTTAAAATATTTTATATATAATAATTTTTAATTAGTATCTTCATAGTACTTGTGTCTAATTAAACGTTATCTTAGAAAATATGATAATAATCCATTGGGATATTTTATTTCTTCAGCGAGGAAGGATTTCTCATGAAAATAAGTTGATATTTTATTCACGCCTTCAAATTCTCTAGACTAGTATATTATATTAGACTTCTTTTCTTGTTATTAAATCTTAATCATTGATGTTTTTTTAATAGTTGGGCTATGAAAAGCGCGAATACTAATAAAATAAGTAGAGTTGTAAAAAAATAAAATAAAATAAAATTGAGGATTTCCATCATATCAATGTCAAAAGAATTAAAATATTTGTTAATGTATGTTATTAAAGAAGATAACAATGTTGAGAATTTCCTAATAAATAGAATAAAAACTTAACATGATATTTAAGTTTTGAAACTTTCTCACTTTGTTTTAGAATAGAAACTTTCGTAATTAAATAAACTTGTCTTTTGCATTATAATATTCTTCACTTATATTTGTAATCATTCTTTCACATGATTAAATAGTAATAAGATGACATGCTTATTTAATTTTCCCTTGAGAGGTGAGGAAAGATAAAAATGAAAGTGAGTGATAATTTCTTCCAAATTGGGTGAATGTAAGATGCAACTTTAATTGCAACAGCATATGCGTGGGGATTATTTGAATAAAGCCCACGGAGCATATTCACCCTATCCTCACATTATTCTTGCCTGCTCATTTATTTCATTCATTTTCTGGTGCTTCTCAGTGCCCTCTTTTTTTCTTTTTCTTTTTCTTTTCCTGTATTTACTGGAAATCCAAGTAGGTTACCTTTGAAAGACCGTTTGGCATGTGCAATAGGATACCCATATATCCATTTATTTCGTCTCATTTTTTTATGAATTAAAATTAAAATAAATTAAAATAAGACGGATCGATCTATATTTTATTCTTAAATTTAAATATAAGTTGAAATTTTATATTAAATAAAAATAAAAATTAAATAACTCAATAAATAAAATAAAAACATCATCTATTATCTTAAAATTTTGATTTTAAATTAAAAATATACATCATACATATTCTTATATGATAGATTCATATTTTATTATTAAGAATCATTTCCTTAATTCATAATAATATTCTTCCTCTATATTTTAGCACCTTAAAAATACCCACTTAAAATAAAATTGGAATATTTCCTTTCCTTTCATTCAAGTCTTAAAATGTGTACACTGCATACAAAATTAATTAATTGTTGGTAAAAAGAAGTCGCGTGGACAACATTTTGACTTTTTTTTCTCCTTTATTTTATTTTAATCTTTTTATATTATACTATTATTACATGTCGGCCGTTTCTTTCATTTATTTTTTTATTATCTCTCAAGATATATAATATATACCTAACTTTTCACATCTTTATTTTTTTCTTTAAAAAGTTTTAACCTCTTTCATAATGTGATCAGTGTGTTGGAGTAAAAATGGAACAGTAAAATTCGAATATTCTAACATGATAATCTTATCTATATCGAACACTTGATACTATTATTCTATAAATATTACGTATATATTCTTTTGAAAAATATAGAATATGATTGAGATTCAACTTAATGATAAGGATACCACTTTGATATTGCTTGATATATTTTTATTCTTTTAAAATTTAATATTTTTAATTTAAAAAAATTAAATTAATAAAAACTAAAAATAGTAATAAATATTTTATTGTATACAGATAGTTTATTGTCCTTTTTTTATATATATTACCTACTTACTTAGTCCGATATAAATTTGTATATTTTATATTGATAAATAATGTTTATATTTTTTATTAATACTATTATTAACAAATGAAAAGGATAAATCTAAAAAAATGGAAAGTCTCAAAAAAGATAATAATAATAATAAAGAATAAAATTGAAATTATTAAGAGTTAAACGTCAAGATTAAAAGAGTCACTTAAGAGTAGGAAGAATAATTTAAAGTAATGAATTTGAATGTGTGGATCGAAGGTACAAGTTAAATACTTATGATCAAGACATTTTTAAAAAATGTGTAGTATGAAAACGAGATATTGAGTTGAATAAATGAGGAGTCAGTCAAATGTATGATGTAGTCCATAAAATGTTTAGAATAGAAGAATTAAGAAGTATAAAGTTTAGCAGGACTACAATTTGAGAGAAACATGACATTGAGAAGAAATTATGTAATCAAGAAATATGTGAAAATGGTTATGGTTTCATTATGTGATATGTGTGCTTATAGATATTATATATGTGTCAACAAAGTAGCTTAAGAAGAAAGGAGAATGATGATAGGAAAGTAACCGTATATGAATTTTATTTTTTTATTTGTTGTATTTTATTTAACTTCACCTTAATTTTATTTTAATTTTTTTAGTGTCTTAGGTTACACAAAGAAAATATAAATAGAGTGAAATAAATATAAAAAAGTAAAAATACAAAGATGTTTGTTTTAAATAGTACAAATTATCATTTGTGGAAAGACAAGATGAAAGATTTTTTGTTTGTGAAGAAATTGCATCTTCTTGTGTTTACTACACAAAAGTCAGATTCTATGTCCGATGAAGAATGAAACTTTGAAGACTAATAGGTGTACGGTTTTATTCGGCAATATGTAGAAACTTGTTGTGAGATCGTCGGATTGGTGATCACTCCACATAGTTGTGAAGGGAGAGATGTGTTAGGTTAGACTCCCAACTATGTGTTTAAAAAGGTCTAAATTAGTCAAGCCAATTTTATCCCACCATAAGTAGAGAAAGATCTGTTAGGTCAGAACAGAGAGAGCATTTCGCAGCCTTTGGAAGAGAAAAAGAAAAGAAAATAGTTTCGCTCATTTATCAAGTTGTCTCGCTAAAATTACGATTGCTACTTAGTTCACCGTGGATCAAGCTAGAATTTTGATAGCAGGTTCGTGGTTTAAGAATCTTCATTTTGACCGTTGCGATCATTAATTGGAGGCCTATGGTTGGAGATATCAGTCTTGCACTGTGACTGGTTTTAAAGTTTCTTTTCTTCTTCGTATTTGAGAGCATTGTTGCTTTGATATATTGGATGTTTTGTAGGCACTTATTTGTATATTTTGATTCGTCTCTCTTGTACTCATACTTTAATCTTAGTGGAGCTTGTTTGATTGGCTTGTGTCTGTGAGTTTTTACTTCTCATATTGAGGAGGTTTTCTCATGCTAAAAATATTGGTGTTCTCATTGTGATTATTTATATCATTATCGTTGTTGTTGTTCCTCTCAAATTCTTGCAAGTTTAGAAAAAATATTTCCGCTACATACTTTGGTATTTTAGGTTGTTGTATTATTTTTCCCTATCACATTTTTATTATTCTCGCAATTTACTTTAAATGTTACATATTATATTAAAAATACAAATTATATATAGACAATCATTAATTGAATTCTACCTTATTTTGATTATCGAATGAATGAATGGTATTGGTTTCATATAAATCCTCTAAAATTGAAAAGCACATCAAAATTAAAAAAAATCCATTTACTATCCTATTATTATTTCATATACATAATGGGTGGAAACATATTTATTAATGAATTGGTATATGTTGTTGATAAATATCACGTTGATTAGAAATTCGATAACATTATACTATATAGGTGAATATAATCGTCACCTGAATCAATTTTGTAAAGTTGAGTTAGGTATCTCACAGATCACTAAGATTTGTACGGGTAGAAGGTAAAAAGTAATAGTTTTGGTCCTTCAATTACAATTGGTACATTTTTATCCAAGGAAAATATTTAAAATGACAATCTAAGTCTCTAAATGTAACAAATTTTGTAACTATATTTATATTTCATTTGATGTTAGAAAATATAGTTCAAATGATTGTAGTAAAAAGCATGAGGTAACTTCGAATGTTCATCTATTTAATTTACATCACAATTTTATTACATATAAGGGAAGCAAGATAAGGAGCAAGAACAAATATCATATAAATACACATCAATATGAAAATTTATTTACAATTCACTTGCTTCTCCATAAAGGGATTTAATTTTTTTTTTGGATAATTAATCGAGATGAATGAATTTTATCATGATTTTAAAATTAATACAATAATATTTATTTAA